GTAATAAAGCACCAGCTGTGAGCAAGAAAGCTCAATGAAAGCCAGGGACCCCAGAGATTAAGCCCCAGCACTGGCACTTGTGCTAGTTCACCATCAGGTAAAGCCCCAAGCTCTATTACAGCATGGTTGAGTCAGAGTCTCCCATTGGAAACAACACCAGTTGGGAGAGAACATATTTATCCATTAATTAATTCATCCCTTAATCTGTGACTCTGTTATAAGGGCAGGCCTTCATCCAATCAATCACTTCTCAAGGGTTCCGCTTCTGCACTGGAGCCCAGGTTTCCAATTCAGGAACTTTTGGGTGATGAATTCAAACCCTAGCAGATACAATACATTAAAAAATAAAACTACTATCTCATATTCTAAGCCCTTTATTTGGTTAATAATGCTTTGGAGAAAATAAATTTCTGCAAGAACAAAGAACAAAGACAGAGTCTCCCAATGCTGCCTAGTCTGAGACAGCATCTAAATAGCTCATGTCCGGCCCACTTCACTCTGTTCCCAATCCCTCCTTCCTCTTCATCATTGTCTCCATTATACATTTCCATGGCCTCTCCACAGAAGGCTTGTGTAGAAGCACATTTCAAAAGTTATTAAAAGAAAGAGGTAACATTGTCCAAAAAGAAATGCACTTTGCCTGACTTATCTAACTGTAACCCCTCTGTACAACAATAATGAATTTTTTTAAGTTATAAGAGATAGGAGGTCTAGCTTAGTGTATGAACCAAACATGCATGAATCCATGGGTTCAATCCCCAGGACAGCAAATAAATAAAAATATTAAAAATATTAAATGCATGATTATATAAAACTAATTAATAGCTACGTGGAAATTGTTTTTTTAACAGTTGTACTTTCACTCATAACATTGAGATTCCAAGTGAACCCTAAAAGAAACATATTATTAGCTAGGCACTGGTAGCTAACACCTATAATCTTAGCTACTCAGGAGGCTGAGACCTGAGGATGGTGACCTGAAGCCAGACCAAGCAGAAAAGTCTGTGAGAATCTTAGCTCTAATTAACTGTCAAAAAGCCAGAAATGGAGCTATGGCTCATGTGGTAGAGTGCCAACCTTGAGCAGAAAAGCCAAAGAAGACTTCAAAGCCTTGACTTCAAACTCTAATACTAGCACAAAACAGTAACAAAAAGAAACATATTATGGGGCTGGGAAGGTGGCTTAGTGGTAGAGCGCTTGCCTTGCATGCATGAGGCCCTGGGTTCCATTCCTCAGCACCACATAAGCAGAAAAAGCCGGAAGTGGGGCTGAGGCTCAAGTGGTAGAGCACTAGCCTTCAGCTGAGGAGCTAAGGGACAGCGCCCAGGCCCAGAGTTCAGGCCCCATGACCAACAAAAAAGAAAAGAAAAGAAACATATTATTAAATATTTGATTGTCCTCCAATCATCTGTGACTCTAATAATCATGTTCTGCTTCACTCATTCATTGTCCTTTTCCAGTTGGCATTCTTTATAGTCAGTTCAGTCAGAGATTTGTCTACATAATTTTGATGATATCCCAAATAACAGAAAACAAAAATATATAATATGTCTAAACCAGGGCAAAATGGAATTAAAAAATAAAGTTCAGGAGGAAATAAGCCTTTTCTTAAAATTAAATCTAATTGTAAATCCTGTTGTGTGATTTTTAACTTGAAAAGTGTTCCCTAGGTTTTGATAAAGGGGCAGTTTGATTTTTCTTTCTGAAATGCTACTACTTGAAGTGTGAATAAAAATACTCAACTTGCCTTTGAAAAGAAGGCATTGTTTATATTGATCTGGGTGTGCCCAAATCAATTTTGTAGTCTGCATCCAGGCAGTTGGATCACTCCTCCACAGCCACATGATTAATTAGGGAAGTGGCTGCTCAATCAGAATAAAGTGTTCCCAAAGTCTCCTGAATCCCTAAGGACCAGTGCTTTCAGGAATAGATTCCAGGATAATTGCATTTTGTGGCTGTTACTGACACAGTCAGCCTGTCTGCACAAAGGCAGAAGGCTCTCTGAGTGGAGGCAGGGGCAGCTAGCTGGAGGTTTCTCCTTAGATAACTTTTTCCAGGTTGAATTTTGCAGTGTGATTAAGCCCTTGCCGGCCAAAGAAAGTCAGTGGATTCTGGCACCTATTCCCGCCACACTTCACACCCAGGAAAGTCAAAGAAGACACAGAGGTCCTCCCCTTACCCGGTCCCAGAGGACCTCCCCCTACCTCCCTGTCAGCCTTTCAGAGTTGCAAACAGAGCAAGAGCCTGCGGGAAGATCAATCTAGGAAAGTTCCTGTCACCAGATGAGCAAGAGCTCAAGCTTTGTTTTTCTTGGATCGTGGGAGACTTTTATTCTGTCTGAATATTTTCACCATTTCCTTCACAAGAGGCTCTGTCTTGAAGCACAGGACCGAAGCAAAATGCCTAATGAAGCATGCCAGGAAAAGGGGCCTGCAAGTGACTTAGGGAAAAAAAAGCCTGGGGAGAGGGGAGAAAAGAGAAGGGTGTCAGGTTACAGATTCTCAGAAAATCATTTGAAAACACCAGCTGGAGACTCCAAATTTGGGAACCCACAAAAGGCCTTTCCAGCCCTTTGGGGCTTCACGGAGTCGGGCATGCATTGCAGAAGTGTGCCAGGCGTTCACTTTTCAGGCAAGCTTCAGGCCAGCCTATGTCTAGGTCTCTGGGGTCCTGGCCAGTCCTCTCTCAACTAGAGTTACCCCGGCGGCCTAAGGGCCCAAGTCTGCCGAGATTCCTGAACTCCCAGTTGGCAGGGTCTGTGACACCCAGGACCCAGGAGTTAGGAGCAAACGGCTCACAGTGGGCTCACAGTACCAGGTAGGGGCATGCGGCACTGAGCTTCCAAACATCTAGGTCCAACACCCTGAGTGTAGGTTGCACTCTCCCAGTCTGAGAGATGAGTCACGTGCCCTCTCTCCAAGGACAGGGCGATTCTCAATGACTCCATGCTGGGAACCCCCCTCCCCTCCCCCAACACTGATCTGTTGGCACTCTGCCTGAAGCCTCCCAAGCAGCCAGCGCCATTCCCTAAAACCAATGCATCATGCCAGACAACTGAGGGGACCTTTCAAACCAGGGGAATGAAAATTCTAGAACGACTCTATTCTCCAGAACGATGTAATGAGGGGAAACGGAGTAGTGAGAACTTAACTCAGAAACGCAAATCGAGCTCAACCCTTCCCAGCGCATACAAACCAAAGACAAATCTGCCAACTCTCTCAGCAGCTCCCAAGAAAAGGCCTCATGAATGAGAATGGGTTGCTAGGTTTCCTCCCTCCCTCCTGACAATCTCTTCCCACAAGATTTCCACCGCCCTAAGAAAACAGGCAGGGCCTTGGTGACTGAGGAGCTGGGGAACGGTGCCAGGCCCACGAGGCCGCCTGCGGCTGCTCTTGCCTTCAGGACCCTGGAGAGCGCCCGCCGCGCCCCTGGGACCCGCGCCCAGCGGTGTGAGACCCGGGCCCTTCCTGCACCTCGTCACAGGGTCGCTTTTATTCATCGCTTCCCGCCCCATCTCCATTTTTCTTGGCAACTATCACTCTTGTTTTTCACAGACAGATTAAATTGTTTTGTTTTATTTGAGGGAGTTGTTTGGATTGGCCGAGTAATGCTCTGGTTGTAACTACAGTAAAGGCTAGTGCACTATGAAGCACGAAAAGCTTCTCAAAGACTAGAACTAAGAACTTGGCCTTCAAAAAACCCCAAATTCATTCCTTTATCAGTGAAGCAGATGAACTAAGAATAAAGACCTAAGGGGAGCCATCAAGTTAGTAGTGAGGCTAGAACCAAGAATTATTTCACTACTCTCTAGAGAAAAATAAATACTTTTCACTCATCAGTTAGGACTCGAAAGCAGCAAGTGGAAAATAGAAAAGTGTATTCCTGAGAAAAAAGATAGAGAGATAGAATTCCCAAAGGAGAACTGCAGAGTGCATGATTGTAGCAGTGGTCCCAACAAGGAGCCCTGTCCTTAATACTCCACTCAACACGTCGGAAGCCAAATTGGCTAGTCCCTTTCTCTGCCGGGGAGTGGGGGGTGGGGGGGGGAGGAGCTAGGATCCTCTACCTACCTGGAGCTACCTCCCCTTAACTATCCCAACGAGATTTGGTAGCCAAATCCAACACTGCCAGTTGCAGAAGAGTTCTAGTGGAAAATGACAAGGGAGAGAAAGGATCAGGAGACATGGAAGTGAAGAAACATCCTAAAGAACTAACAGATGGGCTGGGAAGGTGGCTCAGTGGTAGAGTGCTTACCTTGCATGCGTAAGGCCCTACGTTTGATTCCTCAGCACCACATAAGCAGAAAAAGCCAGAAATGGTGCTGAGGCTCAAGAGGTAGATGCTAGTCTTTAGCTGAAGAGCTGAGGGACAGTGCCCCAGGCCCTGAGTTCAGGTCCCACCACCAAAAAAAAAAAACCACCTAACAGATGTAAACACAGACCTTCTGTACAGGGCATGTCACATTCAACGTGCGTACATATTCTCTGGGAGTGTTAGCATGCAGATTCAGATGCAGTGGGTTAGGATGAGATTTTGCATTTCTAAGGAGCCTCTAAGCACTGGCAACAGGGCAACTGGTCTATAGACTACACCGAGTAGCACAGAGTTACAAAGGGCAGTGGGAATCCTAGTTTACTCTGGAGGCTGATATTGAAGCCTGGGGCAGATTCCAGAGACTCTTTAGGGGGAGGTGGGGGCGGGCAGACGTGGAGGTGTGATTTAAGAGGTAAAGCACTAGCTAGATTAAGCAGAAAAGGCTAATTCAGAGCCTGCGATTCTGAGTTCTAGCCATCGCCAGGAGAGGCTCATAAGGGAAACAATCTAACCATGGGCTTTTTCTTTGGCTTTTTACCGATCTTCTCTTGTATCTGCAAAGTAACTTTTTTAAATGGTGTAATGAGTGGCCTCATTTAAGTGTCTGGACACAACAGTAATGGTGTGCTGGTTTTGTTTCTCTCCTCTCTCCCCCTGCCCCACTCCCCCGCCCTCCCCGCCGCCGGCCCTGCACAGCTCCCAGGATTGCCCGCTGTCCCGACGCTCTTCAGCCTCCTCTCGAGCTCGCTCCGCAGCCTCACACAGTTCTTCTCTCACCTTCTTCGCGACAACCTCCAGAGACTCCCCAACAGCGCCCGTACTTGTCCCCCCTGCTTCCGGCGCTGCCGGCCGCCCGGCTCTTGCAGGGACACGATTTGGAGCGCACCCGCCACTTGCTCCTGCTCGGGGCAGCATTGGCACTGTCAGGCAGACCCTCGGGGTTTAGCCCGCTGGGGCTGGCCCACTGGGTTGCCAAGCCCGGGAAAGAAGACTTCAGCGCCGGGCAGAGTTTCCCCATGCCTGTGAGTACTCAGAACCCCCACCAGACGGACAGAGGCGTGTCTCCCGCTGGCCCCAGAGCCAACCGCCCGCGGCTGGCGCTAGGGGAAGGTACCGACCGCGGTGGGCGCAACAATAGAAAGCGCGCCGGCGACTCCCTGGCATTCCTCCACCCCCGAGGCTCTCAGAGCTACTTTGTTCCCGACCACTCACTTCCGTTCTGGGGTCCCTGGAAGTGGGAGGGAGCGCTAGCCTTCCCCCGAGCTGCTCTTCAAACTCTGCGCTCAGCTCCGCCTCCCCCAACCCGCCTCCCCTCTTCCAAGCCGGCCCCAGACTCGCCTCCGCGGGCTCCGAGGGCGCGCCCCCTCAGTCCCCCGTCCTCCTCACGGGCAGAGGAAATGACGTGAGGCTATTTTTCTATCAGGTCCGTTCCCAGCTTCAGTTTAGGGCTTCGAACTCGTGCACTCACACACCGATCACCACCAGCACCACCCAGCAGTCTCTCGGGTGCCAGGGTTTCCGCTGCCTCGGGGTTTCCCTCCGTGCGGATTCCTAAGTCCCAGAAAAGGAGGGCGAAGAGGAGAGCTGCCAAGAGACTTGGCGAGATGCTGGCGGGGAGGGGGGGGGGTCCTGCGCTCTACTCAGGTCTCGGGCTGGCCAAGACCGAGTGAAGACCCGCCTGGGGTACAGAAGGAGAGGCGGGGTGCACCCGGGCTGAGGCCAGAGCTTGGAAATGTAGGGGGGAGGAGGGAGTCTCCAGGCGCGATTCTGGGGACCCAGCCGCTACGAGGCTCGCGCTTCCGCTCCCCCACCCCACCTTCCAGCTCCTCCCTCCGTCCCACTTCTTCCCCAAGGTCTAGTCGTGAAGTCCGGCGCTCCGGCTGTGCTTCCCCTAAGCTGCGGCGAGGGAGCAGAAGCTGGGCTCTGCGGGCGCCCTGGTTGCTCTCCGGGCGTCGCGCCCACACTCTGTGTTTGCTGATCTGAGGCTGGAGGAAGGAACCCGAGCTGCAGACTTGCTCGCGTGGGGACGGGGGAGTGTCCCAGCCCCCGCCACGCGGAGCACGCCACCACCAGAGGGAGGAGGCGAGACCTGGGATTGCCCGGCCCGGGGAGGGCGAGTCAGGGGGCGGGGAAGGAAAAGGAAGAGAGGAGAGAGCGAGAGCAAAGCCTGAGAGCGACTGTAGGGAGAAAGCCGCGGGGAGCCATCGCGGGCTCTTTAGTAAGGGACCGCACTAGGCTTTGTAATCAAAATACGGTACACGCCGGACGCATGCGCACGGCCAACGGAGGCGAGCCCGCCGGAGCTTCCCCTCCAGCCAGCCCGGTGGACAGTGGGACTGTGAGTACCCCGCTTCCTCAGTACCCATCACCCCCTCTTCCTCTCGGGCGCTTCCCGGGGCCTGGGACTAGCAAATGCCCGAGTCAGGGCCGTGGCAGGACCCGGGACCGTCTTCGTCGCGGCCAGCGGCGGGAGTCCAATGGGTCGGTGGTCCCCTGCGAGCCCCCTCTCCCCGTCGGCGCGAGTGAGCGACTGAAGGCAGCATCGAGCCACTAGGATCGGTTTCTATCACATCCTTGGAGACTGGGTCGGGACTCTAGCCTTTAAAGATTAAAATGCATATTGACCATCCCAAGAGTACTGGGGAAACTCCCGGCAAGTGGCTGGGGAGCGGGACGCGCTGGGCGAGGCGCGCAGGCCGGGCCGTCGGTGCGCAGGTGGGAAGGACCCGGAGCCGCTCCCGGAACGCAGGGCGCCCTTTCCGAGAAGCGCGACGCAGGAGAGGTCGGAGACGGCGGGTTAGGGCGAGGGCGCCCGCCTGGGCACCTTAGCCGGGAAGGCTGGGTTTCAGTGTCTACCGGGGACTCTTTAGCGACAGAGTTGTTCCTGGAGGTGCGGGCGCTGCGGGGATTTACTTTGAGCAAACCCAATCGCCCAGTCCCCCCCCCCCCCATGGGCCCAGAGATATGCTCCCCAAGTTGGGGCGTCCGGGTTGCGGCGACCGGGGATGCGGGCAGGGTAGAGGGTCTGCAATAGGCCGTGGGGGTGGGCATCGATGTTGGCGAGGCCCTTGGACGGTGGAGTGCATGCATGGACCAGCTAGGGCTCTCGGGAGGACTGGAGCCTAATGAGGATCTGGGAACGGCGAGGCCCCCACCCCACTCCCGCGGCGGAGGGAGCTGGGGGAAGGCGGTGCTCTCAATCTGGGGGAGATGTTTGTGGGAGGGGTCTACGTGCTGGGGCTTTCCAGTAGTGAAAGACAAGGTGGGCGTCCGGGAGGAGTCCAAAAGCCTGACCTACTCGCCCCACCTCCGTCTGCCTCGGGGAGGAGCCCGGGGACAGCCGGCGCGCTTCCAGGCTCCGCCAACATCCCAGGGAAACCCGGGCGGGGACCCCCACCCCGCCCCGTAGGCGAGCGGACACGCGCGGAGGGCGGACTGGTCGGTGAAGTTCTGTGGTCAGCCCACGAGGATCTGTTGCAGCCTGGCTTTCCCCGCGCCACCGCCGGTGGGTAGGATAGGGAAGGGAAAGTAGAGTGGTGGTTCAGGCTTTCCCACTCCCAAGAGAAATGCGCCCGGGGCGGGGATGGCGGTGGAGATCCCGCCTTTCCCCGTTCCTTCTTAGAGCGTGATAGCGGCCCATCTCTCCAAAACGAGTGGGTCCCTGCTCCACACGCACACATCACACTGGGGTTTACCGGTTGTTGGAACCGCAGCCAGTGTCCTTGGGGCGATCAGTAGCGGAAAGTCACCTGCCCAGTGGGGCTCGGAATTGTTCCCAAAGTGTGAGACTCCCGCCCCGCCCCCCCAAGCAATAAGGGGCTCCTGCATCCGCCACCGTCACATTCCTTTAGACCGTACCCTCTTCCCAGTCACCGAGGCCAAGAGTCCTGCGAAGCTTGAGGCTTGACTTTATTTCACGTCTAATCCTCCAGACTACAGAATCGATTAAACAAAAGCCCAGGTTCTCTCTCTCTCTCTCTCTTTCTCTCTCTCTCTCTCTCTCTCTCTCTCTCTCTCACACACACACACACACAAATGGCCCGACTTCCTCCCCAGACTTGGCAAGAACATTTGCAATCAAATGACCCTATTTTTAAGTTTATTTTAACTTGCAATTTCAAGTTATTTTTACTCTATTTGCGCAAAACCGAATGTTCTACGAATTTATCCTGTAATGCATTTCATAAGAGGCAATGAAAGCTGTGTTGCCTAATGGGGAAAGAGTCCTGGGATGTATAAGTAAGTGATGGTTCAAATCCCAACCTAGTTATGTGACTTTAAACAAGTTACTTAACCTCTGTGTGTCTTAGTTTTATCGTCTGTAAGATGGTACCTGCTGGCATTTAATAAATTGATCACTAAAGCTCTTATAATTGTCTGGCAGATACTATTCAAAAGCTATTATATTAATGTTAAAATGGTTAAGTGAACTTCAAAATATAGGAACATGCCTATAATCACAGCACTGGGAGGCGGAACCAGGAGGATGGTGAGTTCAAAGCCAGCTAGGGCAATGCAGTGACACCCTGTCTTAAAAAAAAGTTAGGAAGCTGGATGCTGTGGTTCACTCCTGTAATCTTAGCTACTCAGGAGGCTGAGGTCTGAGGGTCACAGGTCAAAGCCAACCCAGACTGGAAAGTCCATTATAGACTCTTATCTCCAATTAACTACCAGAAAATTAGAAGTGGTGCTGTGACTCAAAGTGGTAGAGTGCTAGCCTTGAGCAAACAGTGCTTAGGCCCAGAGTTCAAGCCCCATGACAGACAAAATAGGAACAAAATTTATATATATTTGTTGGTATTGGGTCTTGAACTCAGCACCCTGGCTGTCCCTTAGCTTTTTAACTCTAGTTTAGCACTGTATCACTTGAGCCACAGCTTTGCTTCCTACTTTTTACTGGTTAATTGTGTCTCACTGATTTTCCTGACAGGGCTGGTGTTAAAATACCCATCCTCAGATATCAACCAGCTAAGTAGCTAGGATTTTTGTGTGAACCACCAGGACCCAGCTATATTTTTATTTATGTATGTATTTGTTTGTGTGCTTGTTTGTTCATTGTGACATTTCCACACATGTGTATAATGCATTCCAGTCAATCTCCCCATCACTCTCTGTACCTCTTCCTCCTTCATAATACAATGTCAGTAGGGTTCATTATTGTATTTTGATACATGTCATCAACCTATTTTGACCATATTCATCAGTTCACCCTTGTTAGCTCAACTCCCCTCTTGCTAGTAGTATCTACCCCTTAACAGACTCTGTTCAAAATGCTTGTTTTTGTGTGCTATGAAGTGTGTAAATGCAAATTAGAAAACAGTAAATGTTTTATGCATTTCTATATGCATTTAAGTTCTAATGCAGTACATTTTTATATCATCTAGACCCTTTATTTTGGTTAGTTATGAGATATTTACATATAACCTTCAAAAATCACTTAAGAAACTTCTCTGTGATCTTTAAAAGAGTTCACATTATGAAACAAATACACATTTTGAAAGTATTTACAGAGGGCTGGGAAGGTGGCTCAGTGGTGGAGCGCTTGCCTTGCATGCCTGAGGCCCTGGGTTCGATTCCTCAGCACCACATAAGCAAAACGAAAAAAGCCGGAAGTGGCGCTGTGGCTCAAGTGGTAGAGCGCTAGCCTTGAGCTGAAGAGCTGAGGGACAGTGCCCAGGCCCAGAGTTCAGGCTCCACAACCGGACCCCCCCCCCAAAAAGAAAGTATTTACAGAAAAAAAATCCATTATCTTTATTAAAATACTGTACCAAGTCCATTTTATTTAGGACAATCTGAAAGCTTATTTGAGAAATGAAAAGCTAGCTTCTCTGAGATCACTACAAATATTTTATATGAAAAATCCTTTATTATATAAAAATATAGCATGATGACAACTTTTATTGCATCCATTTCTGGTTATAAATGAGCAAACGTTGGGAGAGTTTAGAATTATTAAAAGCTGAGTGCCATTGACTCATACCTATAATACTGGCTACTCAGGAGGCCTAAATCTGAGGATTGA